TCAGTCCACTTGTCAATGATTTCATGGATTTGTGCCATGTTTTGGTCTGGTCATACAAAAAAATCCAAAGAGCTTAGTTATTTTGGTGTTAATTTTGATGTTTGTATATTTGTATTAAGATGATAAAATCAAAAAATTTGACGATCATTTATAAAAAAGATGATTGAACTAATCGTTTTTATAACCGATACATTTTCGTTCTATATATATGCGTATACAGATACATGATAGTATGAGTGCAAACCTATGGTTACAAATTATGTTCCTTCACCAGATAGTTGCGAATCATTTTAATTATAAATATAACACAATAATTACAGAGTACCAAATAGAATCATCTAATATAATTTTCATTTTCTGTAATTATTATCACGAACTGACCTTAATTATATCATTTAAAACCCACAAAGTATTACATCTGTTTCGTCTTAGTATAAAACTTCCTAGAAATGTACATCCATAAAAATACCTGAGAAGAATCGACATAGGACCTTCAAGTATAATAGCGATTGCTTAACCTTTCAACCACTAATTTGGGATTTCATGGTTTAGTTAAGTTATTTCAACCAATTTATTTTCCAACTGCTTTGACTGATTTTCGCTTCTTTTAAACTTATAAATATTGAATTGAGTTTTTTTGTTACTTCTGAACTGTCATCATCGGTGAAAGATTATTTCAGCTATTTTCCGATGATACCTGTTTGATCGGCGAAACTAAACATTAAGTTTAGGTATTATGTGCTGAATATAATGACATTGTGAGGTTTTCAATACTAGTAAGAGTTGACAATAAATAAATATATATATATATTTCCCATTCTTGTATGAACAAATTATTCTGTGATGGTTGTATAAACTGAGAGAGCTTTACTTGACAGGGATTAATATTTTTCAATATCTTCATATGTAAATATAATTTATTTAAATAATTTGATTTGTTTTTCAACATTTGAAAACCATTGCACGAACGGTCTTTTTAACAATGAATATCAAATTTTAATAGAAAATAATGTTCAATTTTTGAGTGAATCTACTGTCGACTGTAATAAGTGGATATATAACTGAATTTATCATAAGTTATTTACTGTGTACAGATTTGTGTTAGGGTTTTAGCCGCACTATATATATGTGATACTATCCACATCCTTAAATTTAATTAACCTAAACGAAGTTCTATCATCCAACCTGTTGATTTAATGTCTAATACCTGGACCGTTACGCTACTGTTATGACGAAGTTATTTTATAAATTTGTGAAAAAATCTTTAACTAGTCCCATAATCCCATGGTCATTAACGAAGCGATTACCACAAAATCTGAATGAGAAAAACAAATAGCAGTAGGTTGAATTTTGCATAATATATGTCCGAAAAGCTCAGCCATAATGTCAGTATAGTAAAATAAATCCAAAAAAATGATTTTATTACTTTTAAAAATACTTAGATAACACTAAAGTTGAACAATGAGTACCTGATAGTCAGTCGATTACTTTAAAAACATATTTGTTTACAATGACTTAATGTGTCCAATTTTAGTTGATGTTTTAATAATTAAAACCACGTATGTTTCCTAACTAAATAACATTTACTACTAAATTTATTGAGCCATCAATGTGTGTAGACTTAACTAGTTAACGAAACATGTAGCTGACTCAACAAATACCGTTTTAATATTCGATTAGTCATATTGCTTTGATAGGTTTTCTCGATGATGTATCTTCAATAAGACCATGAATAATCACCGAGACAAGCAATAAGCATCATGACATTTCTCATTATGCTAAAGAACTTATAATCTCTAGAAAAATAATCTGAAGGTAATTAAGGACTGACTGAATCTAATACCAAGCGGAGTTTTTGAATAACCGCTTTATGTAGAAAAAACAATGAATTTAGTAATATAATATTCATTTGTTTTCTATTTGACACAACGGTGAAAGTGTAGCACCGCGATGAGCTACTCAGAATACAAAGCACAACTTTTAGGTTCAAATATCATAAATGATGAGCAGGATAGGTAAAAACGATAGTGTCAAACTTATGGAATGCCCAATTTTGTCCCTTTAGATTGTATGCAACATGCAAATAAACAATTTTACTAAATTCCGAACTCAAACCCTTAATCGTGAAACAAAGCTTAACTTGATAGCATCACGTTTTATGGACGGATTAATCGTGTATTTTCTAAATGAAATCCATTCATCAATATGGCCATAAATAATTTTTACCTTGTAACTGATGTCAGTTCGTGGCGAAAATCGTAATTCTAAACCCCTAATCTTATCCCTAAATACCTAGCTTTAACCAGGAACAATGTGGGAATCTATTTCGCTCCCTTTAAGAGTTTAGGAAGATGAACGAATTATATTGATTAGGACGAGTTTACATGTCGGTTCCTTATCGATTTACAGACACAGTAAACTGTAGAAGACATAGCTAAGCATACTAATCATGTTAAATCCGTTTAAACTCTGCAAAAATATTTTCCCAATAAATCATCCGTTTATGAAAGCTGTTTTCTGACAGACTAGAAACTAGCCGGAAATTTTTCATTGTTTTAAGCTCATTATTGTACTAGACTATCGCCCATACAACTTAGTGTAGACCGTGGATACATCATATATATATATATATATATATATATATATATATATATATATAGTTGTTTTGTTTAGTTATTCAGGCTCTCTTAAATTAAATAAATATTCATTAAAGACGAATATCTAACTAGTAATCATCAGTTGTTACTTCAAGGTGGAGTGACAACTGTTAAACTTGAAGCTTCACATCGAGAGCTGGTTTCGACTAGATAACCAATAGAAAACTAATAAGCAAGATATAGCTGTTTTGTTTAAATATCGTACACTTGGAGGTGTATATTTACTACCTCACCATAGTTCTTGTGTTTATTTAGACGCAGTTCGCTCTCGAATAACAGAGATATATGAAAATCTAAAAAATGACTTTATTACCGTTGAATTTTCGAGAGTGGATATGTTAACTTATTTAAATCATCTTATGACTAATGCCTAGAACATTCAACCTAAAATAACGAGTTACATAAGCTTATTAATGCACAATGACATGCATGCGTGTTACATAATAGGTTTAGTGAAAACTTTAGTCCTTCATATAATTTGTATTTTCTTTCAATTTAAGGTTGACTAATATTGAATTCTAATAAACACTGCAACAAATTAAACATTATTAATAAAGACAGTATCATGTGAGTAATTAAAGTAAAATACATTGAATTCCACTGGGGAATATGTAATAACTATGCAATATTCAACATAAGCCACATGATGTTGATTTAACAAATAACTAAACAATGTCTACTTAGGTGGTCATGTTAAAATTTTATGTAATTTTTATAGTAACTTTGTATGATAAATTTATTAAAACAACTTTTTTTTACTCTATTCAACTAAGTAAAGGTACTTGCGTTTGACCACTTAAACTATCTAATTGTCCATCCTAATAGGCAGCTGATTGGAGGTCTATATCTTATACTTGTTGGTAGAACATGTAGGTATGGTAAACATGTTCTACTATCTGATTGTCTATATCAGAATTTCTTTTGATTTATCTATATACCACATTTTATAACTTTTTTTGGCAATCATCCTGGTAATATAATTCCGCTATACTGAAATATGGTGTGAAGAATTGAACCGCTCAAAATATAAGCTAGGCTCTGAGTTGCTTACAACTGAACAACATGGTAGGTGAGGTGTATTTTGAACTCCTAACCACGTTACTAAAATTCCAATAATTTATTTCGCAAACTACAGCTCGACTATTATCCTAAAGTGATATAATCTGGAAAGAAATCTGAAAATAGCAAATGTTGTTTTAATCTAGTTTCAAACATAAGAACAATACTCACTAGAAATCTTACAATCTACAAGTTTAACCTCAACAAACTCATATTATATCAAGATTCTTATACGCTGTAACTAGTAGGCAACGGTAAACTTAGTTTCTAATTAGTTTCATGTTCCTCGTTAATAGATCTTGCGATTAGATCCAGTGTTTGATATTATTATTATTAGTAGTAGCGTATACTACTGAACAGTTTGAAATGAAAACAAAATATCCATCTAATTGATTTCAGTTTTCAATAGTTTTTTTATTAGATATTTGTCAGTAATCAAAACTACTTTTCAATAGTTTAGTAACCCGAAAATTCAATGTAAATAATTTATTGTTTTAATCGGAATATATGTATATATTAGCAAACTTTTCAGGTCATGCTCGTATGTTTATTTTTAGCTCTTCAAATAACCGATTTTGATAAGTATCCATTATATCAAATAAAGATTAGATGGGTAAAGAATATTGATTTGCGTTGAATAGATATCACATTGACGTTTTGAAGAATTCCCATGACATTGAAATAACTTTCTTTGTATGTCTTTTACTTCTGTCCAGTGTATATTATAGACGAAATATGGTCATATAAATATTAATTTTCGAATTTATGATACGTTAATCTGATTTACTTTAATATACCTCTTTATTCCTGTCAATACATCAGTCCTATGAGTTTCTATTATTGAGAACAGCCTCAGAAGTTCATACAAGTCAGGTTCTTTGCTGTTTCATGGTCTATTGCTTTTCCTAACATCAAGTGTTCTACCACAACTACGTTTACAGACTATTTTCTAATAATCAGATCAGTTGAACAGTGATTAATGAGTCAAAGAACACAAAAGAAACCTACATGTTTTCTTTTTATATTAACATGACAATGCTTGACCTAGACAATCCTTGTAATCTACACAGATTTCACTGAAATATTTAATTCATTTCAAAAGAAAACGTTTTATCCCTATTGTATTATCAATAGTTAGTGAAGTACCTAGAAGATTTTTCCAACTTTCCGTTCCCTTGTTTATTAAACAAGCAATGAACATCTAAAAATCATTATGTTTGTAATTAAATGAATAAAAATTAACAATATTATCAAATATATTAATAATTTCTTTCTAAAACTCACCAGCTAGTTCAACTTGAAAAAGAAATACATATCGATCTGGTGAATTAGGCCAACTAATTTCACATGTGTAAAAGCTCACATGATGTATATCAAAATTACTGATAACTAATTTTGTATCTTGATCAGCAAATTGAATATCTCTTAAAGTTGATCTGAAATTCAAAGTGAACAAATAGATTTTTTCTTTAAAAAAAACGTAGTTTCATTTTTTTTAGTGCGTAAAATGAACTCAATTTTGAATTTAAATATGTTATATATTTTATCAGTATAGGGGGTTGTGGAGATTGTTAAGTTTTTGATTGAGATCATGAATCAATTGATGTTAGACCACCGTTGGAAACTTGGAAGCACTGGACGGCCGTTTCGTCCTAGTATGGGACTCTTCACCAGTGCGCATCCAAGATCCCGCTCCCAGCAAGATTCGAACCCAGGACCTATCGGTCTCGCGTCAGGCGCTTAACCAACTAGACCACTGAGCCGGCATCCAATGGTGTTAGTGTCTAACATCAACCAATCCACGAAATTGCGCGACCAACTTCCATTGTACTGAGGTAGATACCTGTCTCTACCCGACACGGATAAGCTCCACTGGTCACGGCTTCTCACTAGAACTCCGAGAATTCCCTCACAAAGCTAGTCACTAGTGAGCACATGTTAATTATCAGTATAGGGGTTGTGGAGATTGTTAAGTTTTTGATTGAGATCATGAATCAATTCATTTGGTCGAAATGCATAAATATTGCTTGTTTTCATTCTCACAGTTAAGCGTTTGTGAACGAGACCGAAGGTCCTGGGTATGAGTCCCGTATGCAGGATCGTGGATGGTGACTGCTGAAGAGTACCATACTGAGACAAAACGGCCACTCAGTGCTTACAGGTATTCAATGATGACTTAGCTTAGGTAGATTCATGAATTCAACTATTAAAATTGCTACAATCTCCACAAATCCCTATTCAGATATTAATCCATTTTGTTGTAACGCATAAAAGTTTGATCACGAGTGAAAATCAGTAAGTACTGAATAGCCGTTTAATCCTAATACTGAAAAATTCCTTACTAGGATAAGGCGACCATACTGTATTTATTAATTTTCAATAGTCGTCTAACTGAAGTCACTGAATGATGTAAAACTACAAAATATAGCAGCCTCCAAAACGCCCTAAAATGAACATGATGAGGTGATCACAATCTCGGACCAAATATATATATATATATATATATATATATATATATATATATATATATATATATATATATATATATATATATATATATATATTAAACACTAATAGAAGTCAAGATACATTTACATTAGCTCACATTATTTCAAATAGGTAAACCTAGACTGAGCTTTTTTTAAACTTTCTAATTACAATTAATTGGTAGTTCTATGTAATCTAATCTAAATAGCTGAAGATAATCATTGAACTTCTATCATATTTTAGTGTAGTTCACGAGTGAGTAAATAAATCTATGATTGACTAAAATAAGTTTGTAGGAAATCTCTTATAATAGGGGCTATGAAAATCCTGAAACGTTCCATTAAAAGTTGAATTTGGCAATATTGAGAATAATTTGAAATGGTATTTTTATTTTATAAATATCATTTCAAAACTCGTCACAATCAAATAGAATTCGAAGGTTTAAAAAAATATTGTATTAGCCATTCACTAGTGATTTGAATTATCGAATATTGTAACAGTAAAAGAAATTAAATTAGAACTGGTTGGTAAATATAATCTCGTAATCAGTAATAATCATCTTATATATTATTTAAACGGAAATACAGAATCTCTAAAGACATTCCCTCCATATCCTTACATTCTTTAGATAAAAAAAACTATCCGGTGTGTGAATAGATCACCAAACTTTAAGGCGGAAAATAAAAGAACAATGTTTACTTTGGTGTTTGTTCAAATAAATAACGTCAGTATCCATGTCATATAAGAAAACTGTTAAATCTTACCCAGAAATGTGAAATTGTATAAAATCATTTTAATTTTACTCATTATTATATGCCATAAGCCTATACAAAAGTTCAAATGAACTTGAACAGGAATGATCGATGGATGATTTTTTTAGGCCTTATAAAAATTAACGTTACAACTGACTGATCACTGAGTAGCGATCAATATTATGTTTGTCTAGTAATTATAGTGCTGATCGAATTTTATTTATGAAGATTACAGGTACACTTTGTAACGACTGCTAAGTAGCATGAAACTTGGATCCGGAATTTCCTGTTCGCTACATTCAACCATCTAACATCTTAACACTAAAATCATAAATTCACTGTTCAGGTTTTAACATTAAACCTGAATCTTTCCATCGCAAATGGATTTACATGAACCAGTATGCCAAAAATTGTCATTTGTTACCTAACTGTCAAACTAATTTTATTACTTATACATTGTGGTAGAAAAATAAGAAAAGTTCAAATCCATATCAGTATCTTACACAGGTTGTTGTTGCTCTCCTAAACGTGGCATTAATCCCCATACTGTAATCGGAGCTATAGAATCTGCTGACTTTTGTACACCTGGTTGAGGACATTCCAATTCAACGGAACGGCCACGCATAACAAATTTCGAAAATTCATGATTTACCAAATCAGTAATTAATTTTGGGGGATCGTCACCTAATAAAAAAATAGAAAATATTAGATTAAATCAAATATATATAGGTGGAAATTTCATTCAACTACAATTGACAAATAGCTTATTGATCGAATCTGACACTGAATATGTAAGTCAAACAGACAAGCAAATCACACACATTGAATAAACAAGTGATACGACTGACTTAAAGTAAGTCAGGTTAAAATATCTGTGACAAAACTATTTAAATAACTCACTAATGTTGACGAGTGAATCATGCGCTCGCAAGCAAACGAGCAAACAAATGAAGCACATATATAATTAATTGAATACCATTATCTCCCAATAATAATAACAATACAGTAATTTTGTTTAGTTGATGGTACGTTTGAAGTTTGCGTTACGATAACACGGTATCCAATATATATTGTTTGAATATCGTTTAATCCTAGTTTATAACTCATAAATAGCTTTAGAATTTATACTTAAAGCGATATGGGTCAACTGTCAAAAAAATGAGCCCGGAAAAGCCCTAATTCTTCAGATAATAACAATTCTGTTATTACCTATTCTTCATGCTCTGCTACCTTTTTTGAATTCGATAGTGTTGGGAGTGGTCTTACACCACACCTAATGCTGGATGACCAAAGATCAAAAAGTATCAAGAGTGAATTAAACACTATTTTTAAGCAACTAAACGACATGCGTTCTAATGTTGAGTCACTTGCTAGGGTCTTTATCAAAGCATGATGATCTGAAACAAGAGATAAAGACACTATCACCCCTTAAACTGCTTTTGTTAAAAGATATCGTTCCCGTGGAACTTGATGACATTGTAAAAGCAGAATCTGTTATCAATCTTATCGCTAATGAAGTTACCAAGAGAATAGTCTCGCGTAATAACGTGATAGACAAAATCCCCATTAAAACTGTAAGGAATTCGATATTAAAAGGATCTAACCTTCAAAGACAGTCAATGTCAATGCATTCGACTTAATAAAATGCACCAGAAATACTCGTGCCCGGTCTTGTTCAGATTCGATCCTCATACATTAGCTGAACAGTTGAAAGAATCTGAGAGGCTAATCTGCGCGCTTACGAAGTTTAGAAACGCTCGTATAGTCTCAGAAAAAACCACCAATCAAAGACTTACGCAAAAACGTACTTTGAACAAAAATAAAGGTGTTGAGAGCATAACAAATCACGATGTATCAGCTGCTGGATCCACTGATGAAGCTACCCTATCCCATGTTCTCCAGTACTCTGATTTACCAACAAAGAGTGCTAATTTACCTATTATGCCTGTAGTGACAACTGATAACCAATGTACATCTAATGACGACACTAATCCGATATTATCCAGTTTACCATTAGAGGCCCATAAGCCAATACTTGGTTCTAATGCGACAGCTCTTAAAAACACTGTCAAGAACCTTCTGGTTCTAGACTCAATAACAAAAATATTACGATGGCCCTACCAAATAAAAATAATACCATACTTCCCGACACCATGCTTTACTTTACGCATCGTAGGGGAGGTTATAAGGGCAGACTTTGTTCAAATTTCTCACAAGACGGCCACTGCAATCATTATGTAAGCAGGCCTAATAGTGGACAGACCACAGTGAACCAATGTGCCCCACGGTTACCCTCAAACATTTTAAATAATAAACCTGTAAGGCGTAACTTTTCTCAACACTTTCCCATTGTGAAGGATGGATTACTAAATCACTCACCATCAACCCAACCCCAACTAGCAGGCGCTTGTCTTAACTGTCAGTCATGTCAAGTTCAACAAATTAATCCACTTTATCAAAATAATGATTTTTTTGGCCTTCAGAAATCCCTGGTCCCACTAGCATTACAGTTTGTTCAAGTGATGATCAGTCAAACATAATAAACCACAGTCTATGCAAATCCAAAATACACATCAACAGGGAAGCTCTCGATTTTTTCACATTCCATACTCCCTTTTTAAACTTATTACTTATCAATGCACGTTCACTTGTGAACAAAATTTCAGCCTCCAGAACATTAGCTTTTCTAGCCAAGACTTCTTTCATACTTATCACTGAAATATGGTGCTCTCAAGCAGTATCTGATTCAGAATTAAATATCCAGAACTATCGACTCTATCGCTGTGACAGAGAAACTAAGTGAGGAGGTGGTTGTATTATATACGCTTTGGATACCCTAACAACTAATAAATTTGAAGATATTCTCCTGAATAGTTTACCAGAATCATTCTGAATCATAGTCTACTCCTTGGATGTATATAGAGAGCTCCTGATAGTTCGAATAATGGGAATGATCTTATTATCAATGCACTCATACATGCATCTGCTCTAAACTTTAATGCTAAGGTTATCACCGGGGATTTCAATTATCCTGGGATTAATTGAAGTACCGGTAGTTGTCAGTCATGTAATGATGAGTTCTCGGCAACCATTAACATGCACTGCTGGTCACAGTAGGTTCGTACCCCAACTGGAGGCGATAGTATACTCGATCTCATGTTTAGTAAAGATGTTATCCCACTATCTGTAAAAGTATACGATGAATTTGAAAGCAGTGACCATGAGATAGTAATTTGCGCTCTCCCTATCTATCCCTTTTATAACCGACCCATTCAAAAAACCTGTCAATATAGAGACTATAAGCATGCTGACTGGGACCTCCTGCATTCAATGATTAAACTTTCAGACTGGGATAACTTTTTCTCATGTAATAGTCTCATGGATGCTATCGACGAATTCTATCTGATCGTTAACTCTTGTTTAGATTTCTTGTGTACCTCTTAAAACGTACAGGTTTAGTAAACCTTACGAATTATACATACCAGTTAAATATCGTAATAAATTAAGATGCCTACAGAAACGTTATTTTAAGTTTCAGAAACATTTTTTAATCAAATTAAAGAGAAACATAGGTTAAAAGCCATTAATGAGGAGATAATAGCGCTTAATACTAACTCAAAAGTACAAAACTTAACTCTCCTTTTCAATAAACGTGCCAAAGCAACTCAAAATGATGATATACCATGCAACCAGCATAATAGCACTTTTATATACGACTCTAAAACTATAGCAGACCTTTTCAGTGGTATTTTTGCGAATGGAGTATAAATCATAAATAGCTCTGCTTCAAGAGTTATGTGCGTGACTAGCAACTTGATAAAATCTATCTCCTTCACATGCATGAAAATTAATAAGGCTATAAATACCCTTAAGCTTTCGAGAGGTCATGGAGCAGACGGGATGTCATCCTTTCTCTACAAATATGGTGGTCTAGATATTCCACTTCTTCTAAATCTGTTTGCTCTCTCTATGGAATTGATTTTTACCCTTACTGTTGGAAAACCGCGTACATCATACCACGTTACAAATCTGAAGATAAGACTGATATGAACAATTATCGGCCGATAAATATTACTCCAGTTGTCTCTAGGATTATGGAAAACATTATAAGTGATGAACTTTCCAACTATTTACTCTCTGGAAAATTTGTCAATGATACTCGACATGGATTTCTTAAAAATCGATCTTGTATGACATGTCATTTTGACTTCTTTAATTTAGTCTGTTCTCTACGTAGCCAAGGATATCTAGTCTTAGTGCTATATCTGGACATTTCTAAAACCTTCGACATGGTTAGCCACCAACTTCTTATAGGTAAGCTCGCATCTTATGGGGTTCAAAATCCTTTGCTTGCTTGGTTTGATTCCTTTCTCAGCGATCGACACCAAATTGTTAAAATTAACTCTTCGTTGTCTAACGCTATCCCTGTTAGAAGTGGTGTAATACAAGGTAGTCATAGGTCCTTTGCTCTTTTTAGTGTTTATCAATGATATTTGTGAAAGCTTTTGTGTCGGTAAGCCCTTTCTATATGCAGATGATCTTAAAGTAGTATATTCATTTTCTCCATATGACCTGAAAAATATGCGAAATTGCATCAGCATGGAGCTTAACAAGGTAGCACAGTGGTGTTTAAAATGGTGACTGGAGTTTAATACGGCTAAATGTGGATGGATGTGCTTCGGCGATACATCACTTAACCTAAATCTTACCATAAATGGTGCAATGCTGTCTAGGCTACATACAGTAGTAGACTTAGGTACTCCTATGACTTTTCGTTTACAGAACTCCAAGTCTCAACGTTTTATAGGTTACATAACTCGGAACCTTTATAACAATGAGTCGCTTATTTTAATGTACAAAGTTTGTGTTCGACCTCTTCTAGAATACTGCATGTTTATTCTTAGCAGTGCGCGCATAAAGGATAAATTAAGGCTGGAATCAGAACAGAAATGATTTACACTTCTTATTCTTGGAGCTGATTGTACCTTAACTTATAATTCTAGACGTAATAAGCTTGGGCTAGACCCTTTATGGAAGAGGAGACTCAAACTAAGTATTGTCTTTTTCTTCAACCTACTTGATAAACTATCCTTTATATCCAATCAAGTGATTGAATATGCAGAAACTTCTCATTATGACATCCGTAATTCCTTGTCACTAGTGAAACAAACGTATTTTAAATCATCTCCTTATATGAATTACTTTACCTATAAATTTTCTAGACTCTGGAATAATCTACCACAATCTATTCATACGATAAAATCACTCCCATTATTTGTTCGCTGCATCGATGCTTACTGCTCCTCTGCGAATGCACGGAGTGCTCTAGCACCTGTAAGTGTATCTCATTCCATATGTGATACTATAGGAACTTTAAATGTTAAGCCATCTTTATTCATGCATTCACTAAGTAAAACTACTTGCTATCACTTTATGTTAAGACCGTCCCCAAAAAGTCTAACTAATTTGAATAACATCACTGTGTCACATGACACACGCATTTCAGTAGACCTGATTGACATATTTTGGTAAATACTGCTTTGTTGTTCCGTACTCTCTGTTTTCGTTTTATTTTCTCTAGTTGTAGATAATTACCATTAATTCGATCTGGCATAGGAGATAACGCTAATTACACCGTTCATAAATCAACAGGCTGCCCATTTAAGAAATATTAATAATCCCCG